TCTAGCAAGTTCTTCTAAAAGTTATTGATTTTATTCATTTGATAGAAATACCAGAATATCAGAAATTCCAGCTTATCTTGCCTTTTCAATTATTATATTGAATATTCGCACATCAATATCATTTAAGGAAGCTAAAAGACCATAACATTCTTATTTCTCTTCAAAAACTTCTTCTTGCAAGTTTATTGACTTCATTAATGCCTCAATCACTTTTTTAATTTTCTTCTACTTTTTTATAAAATTTTTTCTATCCTTATTCCACTATTTTTTTACACTTTTCAATTTCATCAAATAGGAATTTTTCACCTACTTCCATTTCTCTAATGATGTTCCTTCTAGAATTTCTACTAATTGTTCTAGTTTAGTTTATGAGAGTTCTGCTAAATTATCACTTTCATGGATAAGATCCTGGAAAGATTGGTTGTAAATTTCAATGGTACAGTATATTTATTCAAGTGATTCTGATTATTCATTCAAAATTTACTCCAGACTACCCTTAGTTCTAGAAAGCAAATTTGTAAATTATGTTTTCTTTTTTTCAACTGTTTATGCCTCATGAAGCTCGTATTCTTTCAATTTATTGATAAGCCTTTTTTGTAATTAACTGTTCGTCATTATATATTAAACATGGACCCCATGTTAATTAAGGCACTCAATACACAGTTTCCTTGAGCATTAACAATTATGAGGGGCCAGGCATACCAAATTGATGGGATTTTGTTCATGATAAGGGCAATTCATTTTCTTTTTAATAAATTATTGAATTCTATTACTTTACATTAGGTTATAAACTAAAAATCAAAAAAATGCATCTTTAATTATTTTTTTCAAGAATAAGACATATTATGTTAGGATTTGGAGTTGAGAGGAATTGAACTCTAATCGACTTTTGAGATTGAATATCAACATTTATAAAGCCTGGTTCATGTATAATATAGAATAATTAATTCTTTTGATTTCTTTATTTTTATTATTTTCTTTTAATCTAACGATACCCTGTTATTCCATTAAAAAAAATAATTCTTATTTTTCTCGAAAATCTAAATTTACTAGTTTTCCGTCTAGGTAGAATTTGAATATTTATTTATAAACTATTATTTCAATATTATTCTTGAAATACATTTTCAGAATAATTTTTTGTATCTTATTAATTTTCTAATAATATTTTGTGTTTTATAGATAATGATACAGCATGATTTCTTAGTAAGTTTAAATTGATTATTTAATTCCAATAAATTTTCTTTAATTTTGATTAAGATCTGATTTTTAAGACTTTATATTTGGACTGTGTTATTTGTTGCTTTTTATTTAAAAGATCACTCTATATAAAAGTAATTGTTTCAAATATAATGAATTACAGAATATAATAAATTATTTACCTAAACTTAAGAAAATAAGATAGTATAAAAACAAAAATCAATAAGTTTATAGAAAGATATCTTTGAGAAATTAGTAATTACATTTAATGTAAAAGCAGGAAAACTAATTTAGTCCTCAAATAAAGGTTATAAAGAAATATTTTGTAAATTAACAATCTAAATTTGGAAGGAAACCAATTGAGCTTTTATGGGCTTAGATGAAAGTAACTTCAAAATCAAGGAACCAAAACACTAATACGGCTGTTTATATCCCTTTGTCCATATCTGTTTTTTATGAATTTTTATTCGAAAACTATACATGATTTCTTTTTCTTTTTAATTTCCCGATCAAGTTAAATTTTCATATGAACAAATTTGTAATANGTTTTCTTTTTTTCAACTGTTTATGCCTCATGAAGCTCGTATTCTTTCAATTTATTGATAAGCCTTTTTTGTAATTAACTGTTCGTCATTATATATTAAACATGGACCCCATGTTAATTAAGGCACTCAATACACAGTTTCCTTGAGCATTAACAATTATGAGGGGCCAGGCATACCAAATTGATGGGATTTTGTTCATGATAAGGGCAATTCATTTTCTTTTTAATAAATTATTGAATTCTATTACTTTACATTAGGTTATAAACTAAAAATCAAAAAAATGCATCTTTAATTATTTTTTTCAAGAATAAGACATATTATGTTAGGATTTGGAGTTGAGAGGAATTGAACTCTAATCGACTTTTGAGATTGAATATCAACATTTATAAAGCCTGGTTCATGTATAATATAGAATAATTAATTCTTTTGATTTCTTTATTTTTATTATTTTCTTTTAATCTAACGATACCCTGTTATTCCATTAAAAAAAATAATTCTTATTTTTCTCGAAAATCTAAATTTACTAGTTTTCCGTCTAGGTAGAATTTGAATATTTATTTATAAACTATTATTTCAATATTATTCTTGAAATACATTTTCAGAATAATTTTTTGTATCTTATTAATTTTCTAATAATATTTTGTGTTTTATAGATAATGATACAGCATGATTTCTTAGTAAGTTTAAATTGATTATTTAATTCCAATAAATTTTCTTTAATTTTGATTAAGATCTGATTTTTAAGACTTTATATTTGGACTGTGTTATTTGTTGCTTTTTATTTAAAAGATCACTCTATATAAAAGTAATTGTTTCAAATATAATGAATTACAGAATATAATAAATTATTTACCTAAACTTAAGAAAATAAGATAGTATAAAAACAAAAATCAATAAGTTTATAGAAAGATATCTTTGAGAAATTAGTAATTACATTTAATGTAAAAGCAGGAAAACTAATTTAGTCCTCAAATAAAGGTTATAAAGAAATATTTTGTAAATTAACAATCTAAATTTGGAAGGAAACCAATTGAGCTTTTATGGGCTTAGATGAAAGTAACTTCAAAATCAAGGAACCAAAACACTAATACGGCTGTTTATATCCCTTTGTCCATATCTGTTTTTTATGAATTTTTATTCGAAAACTATACATGATTTCTTTTTCTTTTTAATTTCCCGATCAAGTTAAATTTTCATATGAACAAATTTGTAATATAAATTTAGCAACTAATTGGATATTATTAGATTTCATAAAAGTTTTTATGCAATATTATCCAATTTCCAATTTTTCATACATTTTAATATCCTACTTTAAAAATTTTTGATTTATTTCAATCCATTAACCATCTTTTACACCTAGTACATTATAATTGATCTCTATCCAACGATTTTTGTTTAAATTAATTTGAAAATTTAAATAACAATTAAGATTCCTTAAAATTTAATTTTATATGCTTTTTGGAACATAAATGGAAAAACCTTTAATAATACCACCACAACTAATTATAATATAGTAAATTAAAATCATATCCTCTTTATATTATTCTTAATTCTTTTAGATAATATTCCATTTTACTTATTTTATATTTTGTAATAACTTCCAACCCAAAATAAATAACAATTCGTTTTTCATTGAATAATATTCTACTTATTAAAATTTTCAAATTACTCCATCTACTTTCCATTCTTAATTCTCTTTTGATCATATATTTTTTTTGGTCTAAAAAATAGAAATTATTTAAGCTTTAAATATTATTAATTTATTATCAGCGCAAATCCTTATTTTTTTTCCATTTTTAATTTCCCAGATTATTCCGGCCTTAAACTCGCTACATTTAAAATGATTGTACTTTATTAATTTAGTTATACTCTGAATAAATTTCTTTTTACTCTTTACAAATATTAGTTTTATTTCTTTTAATATCATAAATACCTCTAATAGTTAATTTTTGGTTTTGAGTCTACAAAATGAGGAAAAAACAATGCCCGTCTTAGTGAAGAGAAAAGGGGGTTTTATTCTGTTAGAGTTTTGAAAAAAATATATTTCATATGAAATCATACAGATAAAGTTGATATATAAAAATTTTGATGTATAAATTAATTTAAATGATTATTTTCAAAATTTAATTAAGTGCTTCTCCTTCTCTTACTTCTTTTAAAATTTTTGTTATTTTTTTAAATTGCAAGTAAGGTAACGTCTTTAAGATTCTTTTCTATTTCATTTTTTATCTTTATTAAATACTTTTTTTATTGAATTTTATCCATATAAATAAGTATTAAGTAATTAAGAACTCTTTCGAAATATTTGACAAAATTCTACTGCTTAAAAAAAGGGTTTAGAACATAATTAACTAATTACTGCTATGCAAATAAACCCTTCAATTTTAGTAGCTGTAGTACTTTTGCCTGATCCACCTATTTCATGAATGAGCAGTACTGTTTCCTCTTCTTATAAAATTCATTCACTTCTCCTACTTTGTCATCAAATAGTTTAAAGGTCATCAAATTACAGAGCTTATATTCCCCTTTCTCTTAAGCTTTTGATGGCACATAGATAGACTTAACATTTTCTGCTTTTTTCGATACTTTCCTTTTTCAAAATTAAAATAATTATTCAACAGATTTTCCACTCAAAAATGTAAAATCATAACCCATAGTATTTAGTTGAACTTTCATTTGATTTATTTATCCCTCTACTCTTAACAATTTTTTCTAATATGATTTATAAAACCAGTTATCAAACTAAGTTATTAACCCATTACACTAATTTTTTGAATGTAATCATACAATTGCTAGGTTGTTTCATTCATTTATTCAGCTAAAGATCACGTTTGTTGAGATTAGTCTAATGATAAATTTATTCTTACAATTCATCAATCTTCCTCAATATTTATTGCATTTCTCCTGAAATTCTATCAAGTTAAGTCTATCAATCTTTCTACAAAATCTACACATACATACTAATTGAGCTTTTATTCTTTAATATATTTCTAACTCTTTAATCTTTTTCAAAAACACTCAATTAAATTAGAGCTTTCTGACAAGATACAATAATTGTACCTGTTAAACAATTCGATAAAATCTAAATTATAGTAAAAACAAAGCCTTATTTAATTTACAATTCGTCATACTTTTAATTCTTTAATTTGAATAAAACTATCTATTCTACTTCATTTACTTTTCCTCATTGTCTCCTAGATATATTTTTTAATTTATTTAATTAGATGTTCTTACCCAAACTAAATTTTTTGAGATTACAAACTCAGACTGAAATAACTTTTCGTTTATTTCAGACTTTAATTTATTGGGAAAATCACAAATTTTTGTTTTTTGAGAAATAATATTATCATCTTTTTCATTTTTTACAATATATTGATTTATATTCTTTCAAAGTACTCTTTAGATGAACATTTACAATAAATTATCTATTGTCTAATGATATAAATTAAAATTATCAATATGTTTTTAGAAGCAACTTGAAAATCTTTTTCTACATTTTTATTAAAATTTCCTTGTTTCTTTGAATAATTAACTTAAAATTTTTTAAATATTTTGTGAGTTTTGTAAAAATTCTTATTGGTTACGAATGATCATTTTTAATTTTTAATTAAAAGTGCTATTTGTTAGTCTTGTATTAACTTACTCATTATTCCTAAATTATTTTGAGATTTTAATTACTTACCTCAGGTTCTTATCATTTTATATTATTTAATTAATTTATTTGAAAAACAATGAAGTTTAAAAAATTTACATTTTCTCAATACGCCAAAGTTGTTCGTTTATTTAGGAATCTTCTATAAATAACAGCTAAGCCATTACGATTATATATTTATATTGGTAATCTAACTCGTTAAATATATCCTAAAGAGTTATTCAGCTGACTTAATCTTTTTTTTTAGTTGAGGATTAAAGACTAATATTTTAATAATCATTTAGATCCAGATATAATGTTCCCTCCAATATTTTGAAGATTTAACTATTTCTTCATAAATTGCCTCAATTAGTAGAATTATTTCTTATAGAGTTTTGTATTTTTCATATTTAACATAACTTATTACCTACTATTACAGCATATCTACTTGATAACACAATTCATATTATATTCTCTTAATAGAAATACCTTATATCTTCCCAAAATGATTTTGATTAGATAACTATTATGCCTATTGGGGATCCATTAAATATTTCTTCCTTTTTAATATTATTATTTGGAGCAATCTCAAATGAAGTTTTTTAAGAAAAGAAATAGTTTGATTTAATTTAAAATTAAATCATTCTTTTCGATTTCCATTTATTATGGTAATTCATCACAAATTACCAGAAAATAATTTTAAGTTTCACATTTCGTTAATCTCTCATCATTCATTAAATGGAAGCTAAATATTACATTAACTAGGGATGGTGTAATCTTTAAAATGTAATAATTTTTAAAGGAATCTGATATAACGTTGGTTTAATAGTTTATCAACGTCTAATCCCAAATAAAACTTAGCTGTATCATTTCTTAACACTTTATACATTCTTATTGATTTTTTAGATATTTTCCTCTTAAAAAATAAACCATCATATTGCTGTCATTATTTCTTATGATTGATATAAATTAGATTCAACTGAAACCTTAGATTCGATTATCTAAACATATTGATTGACTCTTGAAAAGAAATAATTAACATCAGTTTAAACCGCATTTTTGTCTTATTAATGATCAAAATTAGTTTTTTGAAATTCCACAATCTCTTCCTCATCAAATAAATTTTGATTTGGCTTAGCATTTTTAATAATATTTAAAGAATAAATCTAACACACATTTATTTGAACGCTGAGAGTAAAATAATAGTAAGTTTTTATAATACATCTGATCAAACAATTTCGTCATCTGAGAGAAACCTTGTATGCATATCAATTATAATAATAAGGGAATCTCTTGGTCCTAAAGCATGAACCAAACCTTTGTATCGAGCGAACGATTCTAAAAGATGTTAGTTATGCAAAATAGTTTTGGGCATCAAAATCCTTTTAATAATCGCATGTTCAAAATTTATATTGATTTATTTAATATTGTGAAATTTTTTATTTCATGAGAGACAATTTTATTAAGAAATATCATAACAGTTTTCACAATATCTATTGTACTAAATATAAGCATTTCCTTATATATAAGTGAATGACTTACACAATCAAATTCTATTAGTTAACTAAAACTCTTCACTTATGTGGTAAGAACATTTATTTGAACTGATAAAAATACTATAACAAGAAGAACAAACTTATTCTAACTATATAAAGTACTCTGATATTAATTGTTGTTTTAAAATTATTCAACTCAAGCAAGAAGAAGTGAATTCTTTCTAAACCAATCAATTGAATCCTCCTTTGATATTTTATAAGAACCTAAATAAAGATTTGTTAGAGAACATATATTAAAATGATCAAGTGTATTCATTAAAATAACTTAGATAAAAAATATTGATATTTCAAAATGAGGTTTTAGATTATCCATATTTTTTTTAGGATCCATCATACTTTATTAACAAAATTAATTAACTATTTTAATATTGAAAAGAAAATTTTAACTAGCATAATTTGTAGATGGAACTGGACAAATTTTAGATATGAATATAGTTCTTTCAGAGTCATTCTTAAATTCTAAAATACTTTTGCTAAGTATCTAAAATCTAGAAATGAATAATATCAACACCATTAAATGATTGAATAAGGCATTACTAAACACATTAGTTTCTTTAAATATTAATATATCTAATGTCAAAAATAATACTTCTAAATAGTCAAATTCCATTTTATTACCTACAAGTATCCTTAAATCTTCATTAAACGATTAGGATTATAGAGTTAAAAGTTATCTCTATTTTAAACATGGTAAAACTACTCTCATAAACATCATACTTTAGAAATATTTTACCTAAATTTTTTAATTTCAAATTTACCTAATTCTAGTATGTTACTGAATTTTAAATATTAATTCAAAATAGCATTCCTTCACTAAAATATAAATTATCAAAAATGAATTGCATTACAATTTTCATACATCAAGTCAATGTTTTTACGATAAAATACATTTGATTTAAAAATGAAAGGGTAATATCAAAAGTAAGTTTATGAAGGAATAACTATCATATCAATTAATATAAAGCTTGACATAATTCAGTATTCTTCCACTTAAATTTTATCATAACGAACAATCAAATAATCTTTCTCAAATTCTTTAAACCAATCTATATTTGTTTAAGAAAATTATTACTGATATATAGTCATATTATCCATTTTATAAATTACAATTGCCATATCATGTAAAAAAAATCTTTTATAGAAGGACAATTCCAAGTTAAAAAAGTTGGATTATAGGACATGACTAAAATTCACATACTTAATTCCTATTTCAAGCCTTCATCATGAGGAATTAAAAAAAATTCATTAAAGAATTTTAAGCGCTTAACTTAATAATTCTAATGAGACCTATAATAAACTGAAGACTAAGTATTTTATTATACTTTTATAAAATATCTTTCCTATTTATATTTATTAGTTAGTAAATAAAAAATAATTATACTTTCCTAAATTAATAAAATAAATTTTCTTCATTTAGAAAAAAAATGTATTTATAAAATTGGTCTATTTATAGGCTTCTTCTCATGGTCAATTATTCAAAAATTCCATCATTATTTTAAATCATACAAATTCTCTTTTCTAGAAATAACTTCTATCATATTGTCTCAAATTCTCATTGATCAAAATTTAAGAATGTTTTCATTATTATTGTTATAATTTCCCATTTTATTTTTATTGAATGCCTCATGGTATTAAGTAATGAGCCTATAAATCTAAAATTCTTGATAAATTTATTTTAAAGAATCAAACGAATAACTTTACATCACTTACAAGTATTTTTAACCATATTAATTTTCATAGTATCGAAAGCCTTAAGATGATATATTTAATTTTTACTTCTTCTTCTTAGCAACATTTAACAATAACGTATATTGAAAAGTTATTAATATTGGACATAAGAAAAAACCATAGTTTTTTTATTAAATTGAATCATCAATTTCAAAATGTGAATCATCCTGTTCATAAGAGTAAGTAAGGTCATTAAAAAGCTAGACTAGACTAGATAATATTAATATTTCTTATTTAATTGACACTTTTATTTATAATAAGTGTATCTCATATTAAAAATTTTTTCTAATTATACTTAATGTTTAATATTATTTTTATAAAATAAAATATTTGAATAGTTAAACATTGATGATTTACTTAAAATTGAATTTGAAGTGCTATATTTTAAATCAATAGAATGATATTCGTATTTATTCTCTTTAACTATTAAAAACAAATAATTGTAAATTAAATTTCAATATTGTCAATTATAATTAAAAAAAGTGTTAATATTAATCATTCTTTAAATTATAATTTTATTTTGAGGATCAACAAATAATTCAACATCATTATTTTTTCTTTTATTCTTCCTAAATAAATAACTAAGAAGTTTAAATTTAAGTTTAATACAATGATTATTCAAAATAAACATTTAGATTACCTAATAAATGTTATTCAGATTAAATATTTCATGCTTTTCAAAAATATTTTTGTTTCTTTAGTAATCAAATAAAATATTAAGGAAAATATTAAATTAGTTTAAATATCACATACTATATTAAATTATCATGCCTTTATATTTTTGTGATATATTTTAAAATAAAAATAATAAGTATATTTAAAAAAAATTATTTATATTTTGTAATTATTTCCATATATTATATAAATTTAAATCCCCTGTTGATCATTAGATTTATAATTTAAGTTAATAAAATAACACTTAAATTGGATCAGAATATTAAATATGATGAATAGAATGAACATTTTTCATGAAAGTAGTTTTTT